GGTCAGCTGGGGTGGATGGAGAGAGAGAGAGGGAGAAGGAAAGAGAGAGAAGGAAAGAGAGAGAGGGAAGGAGGGAGGATACAATTGCTCTGCCCCTTGAAGCTCTGCCAACTTTTCTATCTGTGTAGCCAGAGACCCCTCTTCTATTGGCTAACGGGGCCTCCTTGTCATTCCAGCAATGCAGGTCGGAGTGGAGCGATGCCTCCAGTGTCAATTATGAGAACTTGTATAAACAATCTTCCAAAAAATGTTATGCGCTGAAAAAAGGGACAGGTAAGTCAATGTGGTGGTGCACATGGTGTTAGGTCAAGGAGGGTGCCCTTCCCTCCATGAGGACCCCAGGGGATCCTTCTCACACACACCCCTTGGCCACTGGGGACCTTTCTTGACCTCCTGGATCTCTGAGCTGACTCAGTCCTACAACCTGTACAGACAAGGGAACACAACACAACCATGGGAGAAACCGTTAAAAACGGGACTGGAGCTCTAAATGAAAATTATTACGGGGCCATCAGCTCATAATGCAACTAACAAGCTCCATCTTAACCTTGTTCCGAAAGGCCATCATTGTCTCAGGGCATCTGGCTTTTCCCCCCTGGTTTGCTTGCTCAGATGTAGATCAATCTTCAACACCCCATTGCGGTGAGAAGAACCTCAGCCACATTTTGTTTGTCTGTGTTGCAGAGAAATATTAACACATGCCTGGTCGAACTATAAACCAATCAAAAGAGCAGCCTGAAAGCCAATTTGGTCTCTGGTGAAGGCATCAGGCTAGAAACAGGAGACGGGGAGTTCTAGTCCCACCATAGGCGCTAAAGCCAACTGGCTGACTTTGGACCAGCCCCTCCCTCTCTGCCCAACCCACCTCACAGGGTTGTTGTTGTGGGGAAAAGAAAAGGGGGAAGGTGTGTTGGATATGTTTGCTGCCTTGGGTGAGTTGTAAAGTAAAGAGGTGGGATAAATATAAATAAAAATAAATAAAATGAGACAGAAGAAATGAAAGAAACTTGAGGGCCAGGTAACTTATCTGGGTTAGAAGAACCTGTTGAACCCCCAGCCTGTTTTAGGGGATGAGAGTCTCCACCTGTGGTATCTTCATGTCCTCCTGCAAATGAGCCAGGAGCCTCTGAAAAGATCTTCTGGGACTCTCAGGGAATCTCTGCAGGAAGTGATCAAAATTTCCCTTTTTTATCCAGAGCTTCGCACGTGGTTCAATGTTTACTGTGGAAGAGAAAATCCTTTCGTCTGCAAGTACACGCCAGAATGTTAAGATGCAGCTGTCTGAAGTCTGGAGAAGCAAGGAAGCCCCCCCCCACCTCCCCCACCCTGCCTGCCGCAATCTCTGCTCTGCCCCCTGTCATTCCATGGATGCTCTCTGTAGCTGGATCTGGTTTTGCTGCTCCTGATGGGCCAGAAAGTCCAATAAATTCTGCCTAGCATGACTGGCCTTGTTTCTTTGGGGCCCCCAGGAGACGGTTGAGGCCCAAAGCTCCAGACCCCCCAGTCCCCTTCCTGGCAGGGCTCAGATTTAGGGGGGAGGGTGGCTCTTAGGGGGGACCACCCACTGAGGCTCAGATGCTCTCCTCCCGTCCCCCTCACTGGAACCAAAGGGGGGGTGGAACCTGCTGGGCCTCAGCACCCCTTCCCTGCCCCACAGCCGACTGGCACCCATGGGCCCCCTCTGGACAAAATGGCGGAATCCCGCTAAAGAAGGCACGAGGCTGGGAGGGAGGGCTGGGTCCAAGAAACGCCATCTCCGTTGTCTCTGTCCACTCCATGGAGCTTAACTGGGCCTCAGGATGGGCCCATCAGGGGGGATTTCCTGGCAAACAGTCTCCCCTGGAAACGAAGCCCAGGAATTAAGGGAGCAACTATGAAGATTCAGTCATTGGGAAATATAGAAAAAAAACCATACTTTTCACAATATAGATTTTAAGATATGGGGAGAGGTCCTGCCCAATTATCTCGGAAGAGTCTGACCCTGTGGGACCCGAGGAAGTGGACAGGGTCCTGGAGCCTATCAGGGCCGCCACCTGTCAGTCAGATCAGAGGTCCCCAACTCCCGCTCTGCAGCCCGTTCGGAACTGGGCCACAGAAGTGGACAAGCACGCCCATGAAGCTGCATTTGTGACAGTGGGATGCCTGCACATGTGAAACCATCCCTTCTGCTCCCCCCCACATCGAGCCGGAGGGGTTGGGAACCGCTGAGTTAGATCCTTGTCCCGCCTGGATGGAGAAAGGCTCCAGGGCGGTTGCGCTTGATTGGTTGGAGAATGCTGGCAATCTGGACTCTGCCTGAGGCAATCTGTATTGTGATTGGTTGCCCAGGGTGTAGAGGGGGCGGTTCCATGTTTTCCCACCTTTTTTCTTCTGTGTGCCCTTTGGTGCTCTGAGATTTACCTCAGGATGCTCCTGTTCGCCCGACTATCTTGTCTGCTGCAAATATAGATGTAAAATACATTTATTTATATAAAACTAAATTTCGCGTCAGCTTTTCTGACTTCATTGGAAGACCTGCTGTGCAATTCCCTCAAAGGTTACGGGCCCAGAAGTGCCCTGGAGAGCCAGGAGTAAATTCCTCTGAGGTAAAACTTTGTTTGTGGGCCTGAGGGAGGTTGAGGCCTATAAAGACAACCCATTGCTGTTACTTGAGTGGGAGGAGGATCTCCTGTGCCTGGCCTGAATGAGTCGAGTTATCTCTCTCCTGGGCCCTAAAAATGGAGGTCTTTCTGTGAAGGATTTCCTCCAGCAGACACGCAAAAGCAAAAGGAGAAAGCCCTAAAATGGCTGATCACCTGTGGGACGCCCACAAGAGGTCCCTTTGGGGGGGGGGGAGAGAAGCAGATCTGGCGCAGGGGGTGGATTTCTGCTGGGTTCCTTGAATTCTTTGCAGAAATAATAAAGTGGGATGCAAATACTGTAATGAAAACTGTAGAGCTCCCTGAGCCATTCGGACCTAGCAAGACTTATCCCCCCTTTGCAGCGTCCTTGATGTGGGGCCGCCCTTGAAAATCCCCCGAAATTGTAGTTGCTGCGGAAGGAAGCAGCCAGGCTGTTGAAGGGGGATCAGGTGGGTCTGTCCTAAGGGATCTCCTCTCGCCTCCTGGGTGCCCCCAAACTGCTCAAGCCCTCAATGGCCGACTGGGACACCCACAAGAGGTCCCTTCGGGTGGGCAGAGAGAGAGAGGGAGAGAGAGAGAGAGAGAGAAGGAGAAAGAGGAGAGAGAGAGAGGAGCCATCTGCTTTAGGGGCCTCACCTGTCCGATGGCCACAGGTGGGAGAGCCGCACTCCCCTGTCCCTCGGCCTCCACAGGTAGCAACTCCAGGCTTCCCTCCAGCGAGGGGAAGGGAGGCATTTATAGGCCAAGAAAAGGGGGGCCTCTTTTGGGGGGCAGCAAAGGGTGGGAGAAATGGCTTTGCTTAAGAAGGGAAATGGTGGTCTAGCCACCAGGAAGGAGCCTGTTTGCACAAAACAACTTTAATCTGACTGTGGATTTACATGCTGCCAAGAGAGATCTCACCGAGAGGCTCCTGAAATTTGGAATGTTCCCTGAGGTCATCCAGCCCAGCCCCTGCTTGGTGCAGCAATCCAAAGGAAAGAACCCCGGATACGTGGCTGATTGGCCCCCTCTCCTTTGGGTATCCAGACAAGGGGATCCCCCCCACCTCCTCTGGGTCTGGGGGCTGCTGTTGACAGGCTGACTTTCCCTTTTCCTGAGCGAGGTTTTTCTCACTTCAGAACCTGCAGGAATGAACAGCTCCCAGCATCCTCCTTAAGGGAGGGCATGGCTGCATTTCCACAATACGCCCGGACCTCGACCCAGGTAAAGAGAAGGGAATGGCTCAGTGGGGGAATCAAATATGTGAACAACGGCTTCTCTGTGTGGATGCCACTTCCAGAAGTCCATTCTGGGCCTTGGCAACAAACAATTAGCTACCAGTCCTGCCGAAGTGGTGCGAAGTGGCTGAATCCCACCACTGGAATGGCTGCTTTGTTCACACAATCTGCTGAATGGGTGGCTGGGTTTGAAGAAACGCTGAATCACAAATCGACCCGCTCTGTTTTAATGCAGAATTGTCTGCAAAACCCCCACACAACCTTTAGAATAGAATAGAGCTGGAAGGGACCTTGGAGGTCTTCTAGTCCAGCCCCCTGCTCAAGCAGGAGAACCTATACCATCTCAGACAAGTGACTGTCTAGCCTCTTCTTAAAAATCTCCAGTGATGGAGCAGCCACGATTTCTGGAGGCAACTTCTGTTCCACTGGTTAATTGTCCTCACTGTTAGGAAGTTTCTCCTTAATTCCAGATTGCTTCTCTCTTTGAACAGTTTCCAACCATTGTTTCTTGTCCTTCCTTCTGGTGCTTTGGTCAATAACAGGACCCCCTCTTCTTTGTGGCAGCCCCTCAAATACTGGAATACTGCTATCATGTCTCTCATATTTCTTCTTTTCTTTAGACTAACCAAACCCAAGTCCCGTAGCCGTTCTTCATATGTTTTAGTCCCCAGGCCTTTGATGGTCTCAGTTGCTCTTCTCTGAACTTTTTCCAAAGTCTCAACATCCTTTTTGTAGTATGGTGACCAAAACTGGTTGCAGTATTACAGGTGTGGCCTCACTAGGGCTTTATAAAGTGGTATGAATACTTGATTCTATGCCTCTGTTTATGCAACCCAGGATTGTATTAGCTTTTTTGGCTGTTGCTGCACACTGCTGACTCACGGTCAAGTGATCACCCACTAGGATAGTTGGTCTTTTTGAGCCGGGTCTCACCTAATCTGCACTTTTCCTGTCTAAATGTAAAACTTTGCTTTTCTCCACATTAAAACTCATTTTGTTGGGTAGGGCCCATTGTTCAAGTTTGTCAAGATCTTTTTGAATCCCGAGCTTGTCTTCTGGGGTGTTGGCTACTCCTGCCAGTTTGGTGTCATCTGCCAACTTTAACCAATGACTTTTCATATCACCCTTTTAATGTGGGAGTGAACCCCCTCCCCTTCTAGACTTCCCCAGCTGCAGTCAGATGGAACCCCCCATCCTGGCTTCCTCTCCGTTACAAACTAAGCCACAGAATAACTAGCCAAGAATTGTGGGTTGTGTTAGAAACAGGTAGGGATATTTCTGAGAGCTGATCAAGCTGTTGTCTGAATCTGGCTGAGGTTTTGCTGCTGTGAGGGGCTCGGCAGGGTCTCTTCCGGGGCTGAACCCTCTTTCTTTTTTTTCTTTTTTCTTTTTTTAAACTTTTTATTTATAAAACAATTAAAAAAAAACATTGGATTTGACGTGACCTTCCAGTATATACATTCTTATCAGATTATACCATATTTTACAATCAATTCATTATCTCTACATATACATTAAATTTTATGTACATTATCTATTCTAAAGTAACATACATTTCTATCTTATCATTCGTCTTTAATCCCAGCCATCCTTTTCAAATTCCTCCAGCGGTAAAATTTATCCCAGGTTTCAAAAAAAATTGATCCACATTTATCTTTTAGTATCATTGTGAGCCTGTCCATTTCTGCACATGCTAATATTTTATGTATTAACTCTTCCTCTGTGGGAATTTCCTTACTCTTCCATTTTTGC